CTCCTAAAATCCAACTTATTTCTCTGAAAATCCCATTGCAGTATCGTGTGTGTGAATTTAATATTTTTTTTCGTAAATACTTTTTGTCCTCTTTGACTTGATCCTCGATATTTTATCTTCTATATGTTTTTCAGTCTCGGCGTAGCATCATTCAACCTTTTTTCTTCATTCCAACTTGATTTCGGTAATTTCTTCTTTTGTAATTCTATTTTGTTTCCCATGTTATGTGGAAATGACTTTTCCCTTCGTCATCTTGGCTTTATTCCGTATTTTATGGTTTGGAAACATTTAATTTTAGCTTCTTACTTTTTCATTGCATCTTTTTCTCCGCAAATTACGATTTTCTTTATTTATTTTTAAAAAAGTATTTTCAAAATTTTAGTTGTACATTTTTTTTCCTGAAATTTCGACTCAACATCCACTAATATGCCAGTATGGTTCTGAGCAGAACATGCATCATTATTTTTTATGATTAGTTTGTTTTATTAGTCGTCATAGGAGTGGTCTTTGTAGTAAAAGTCTTAAAAATGTGAAATCTGAAAATATAAGGAAATCTAATATAATGACAGAAAAAAACGTGTTTTTGGGATGTCTGCGCACTTGTACATGGATAAATTCAGAGTTGTTTTCCCTCACAGTTCCCGTTTTAATCATTGATCGCCATCCTGTCTTTTTTTAAATAAATTGTTCCAAACGGATGTTAAGGAAGAGGAAGCTTACGTGTACAGGGGCCAGTCAGGGTATTTTCGTGGCAAGTCAAAATAGGAAAATTCGATTAGGGCACATTCAACGTGAAAAGTGGTGCAATGCATTTTCTCCACGAAAGCGTTCTTTTCACACATCGGGTTTTACTCTCTCGACACAAAGGGCATCCTTGTTGTTTTTATCAGCAAGCGCACATTGAGACGAGATGTGGCTGATGGGAAACAGAAATAGAATGCGTTAGTGACTAATGCAAAAAAAAAAAAAAAAAAACAAGTGGAGTGCGTGCATGCTCATAAACCTCGCGACACCCAATCAATCCCTGGCTGAAGTTCTGCCGGCTGCACAGGTCCACCCTTTAACAAGGCCTGTTCACATGCTCACATTTTATCGATGCCGTACGAAAGCCGACAAGAACTTTCTTTGTTTATCCGTCGACGCAAACATCTGTGCGATTGGATCTCTGTGCGATTACATGGGCCTCCATGTATGCATGCACGTAGCGTGTACAAACATGTTGATGTGGCGCTGTCATGGGTCATTTTCATGATTGCTCTCGACCTGACTCAAAGCTCCAAACCTTGTTCCCAAAACAATTAAAGGATGAATAAAGTCTTGCTAATTTATCTCAAAGTGCCAGGAAAACATTATTCATTTTGGGGGGGAAAATTAATTTTAAAAGTAAAAACTAATTTTGACTCGCAAACTACAACATGAAACCACTTATTTCGAGCCGCGCATGTTTGCGGTAAATGCGCTTTCCTAAGACAAAGTTATTTTGGTTTTATGTAAATACACGAGATTTCATTCTCTTTGTGTTATGTTTAGTTTTGCAGTAAACTTCAGCTTTGAGTGGCTATAAACATCTTAAAGCCTCTTTTCAAATCATCGTTTGCTTTTATCCAAACTGCCGCTGAAGTCAAAACAAAAAAAAAAAAAAATTGCCCCGAGGACTGACGGCCTTTGACGAAAACAACCTCAAGTCGGATCACTCAAATCTCAAGTCACCGCTGTGTTGTTTTCATGAATCTAAATAATGTCAGCCACGAAACATGCTCAGATTCCGGTAACAGTCGCAAATGAGCTTGCGGTGGGCTGTTTTCACATCATGACCTCTGACTGTTATTCTAACTTCAAAATATAAGTGTGTGTGTGTGTGTGTGTGTGTGTGTTTTGTGTCCTCATCTTGCAGTGGTTTGAATAAATGAGCTGCTCTCTCATGGCTTAAGCCAAGAAGTATATGCCGGCTCAGTGTGCCCCCCCC